TATATTCAGAGTTCAAAACAATGTAATGTTCATTGACTTATTCATTGTCCAATATACACATCAACTTGAATTGGTAAACTGTTCCAAACTGTATTTCGCAATAATAAGTGTGAGTACTGCATGAAACTTCTAACACACGATTCCCAAAACAGGCTTCGAATGAGTAGTCAATCAGTTCATGCAACGCAATGTGTTATCGCAATGTGTTATCCACCACTATAACGAAGGTATATCACGGGCACGAGGCCACCTACAGTAAAATACCAGACATTTTACAAATAATAATATTCATCTCACTAATAAGTGCTAATTAGAAATATTACCTACAAACTGTTCTTAAAACCTATTTACAATTGTTGTAATGTTTACAGCTTATAGGTTAACATAATCCATGTCTATCCTGACATCTACACGTACGGTATATACTAAGGCCTATTTGTTCCTGGCTTATCAAACTACGGTCACAGACCGTTTTGTACTAACACCAAGCCTTTACCGCACTCAATCACTACCCGAATCACAAAGAGCCAAGGTCTTTTAACTGCAAGTAGTTTACATATCAATGGTGCGTGGCACATGTACATGTAGCAATGGCATAAAATACCATAGCACATAACTTAACGTGACACCATGTTTGGTAGGAGTCTGTCTAATGCGATTGGTCCAATCGTTAGTCACTAGCAGTATTTGATAATTTTCACTATACTGACCCTTGTGATTTTTTACCTATAGGTGAAGAGTAGTTTTTCATGTTTAGAAGGTCCTAAGCATCATTCCTGGTAAATTCGAGCTCAATTGGGCTATTTTGAAAATTTGACCTGATGACCCCTATGTGACCCCTCATCCCAGACTGGGGTGTAGGAGGTGTCGCCGGTTCTTAATGACGAAATTTGATTGAATTTGGTCCAATGGTTTGCCATTAGTAACATTTTGAACCTTTGACCTATGAACTTTGACATATGGGATGAAGAGTATTTTTTCATGTTTAGAAGGTCCTAAGGATCATTCCTGGTAAATTTGAGCTCAATTGGGCTATTTTGAAAATTTAACCCCGATGACCCCTATGTGACCCCTCATCCCAGACTGGGGTGTAGGAGGTGTCGCCGGTTCTTAATGACGAAATTTGATTGAATTTGGTCCAATGGTTTGCCATTAGTAGCATTTTGAAATGTTACTAGAG